TAAATATAATAAAAATAAATCATCGAGGTTGTCTGAAAATTTTTGAATACATAAGAACAATTATATACAGTGGAAAACTGAGCAGCAGAACAATATATAAAATGTTGTTGTAAACAATGTCAACAAAAATCTAATTTCATATGAGCCCTGTGAGACTCCTTACGGTTGGTTTAACCATGCTGGTAAAATCTCCTGCAGTTTGAGATTTATGGTATAGCAGCAGGGCGTAATTTCTCCAGGCGTATGTTCTGTCAGGCTGGTTATTGCTCCATTTGGATCCTGCTCCAGTCTACCTCCGGCAAAGCAGGGGATGTTGGTTCACAAAAATATACATGAGGCTTTATTCAAATGTGGGAACCAGGAATAAAAAGAGACAGGAACATAGCTTAGCAATCACGTAGGAGCACAGAGCTCCTCCTCAACAGTAATGTAGATGAAGAACATATTCATTTAAATAAACTGCATCAAAACAATACCCCACAAAGAATATGTAAATGTAATATCAGAAATAAAGACATAGAACACAAATAAACACATGGATCAGAGGAGATATAGTTCTTATATGCAGTTTACACTTCTTCACATGTTCTCACCTATTTTCTGTTCGCTTTTAATCCACATTAAAAATTTGTATTTATGGCCTCATTCAGACCATGAATATGAATTAAATGAATTGTTGCCCTGATTTAAATCCACAATGTGATGTCATGTGCAACAGTGAGAGATTTGTGAGGCGGTCCTGCTTTATGCAGGTCTTTTTTTTCTGATGTAACTTAAAAAGGGACACAAAATGCAGCCTCCCAGAATTATGCGGTCAGCACCACTTTACTCCCCAGCACGTGTTTACCTACTGAACTGTGTTTTGATCAGACTGACAGGTAGGAAAAAAGGTGTTCAAGGAGTCAAGCAGAAAAGGAAGCTGCCTGCTTACTCAACAAAACTCATATGCTTAGCAGAGATTTCCTCTGGGTGATGGTCCAGGCCCATTAGGACCAGAAATATCTTGTACACTTTTGACCTCATTAGCTCCTGGCTGAAAGAAAAACTGTCCTTTTTTATTTTTTTCACCTTTTAAAATGTATCTATTCTTTTTTAACAATGCATATAACCAATTACCAGTAGTCTTGATTACTCATCAGACAGATTTTTTCACACAGAGATGTCTGTGTAGCAAATAAGCAAATAAGCTTTGCTTCAAAACATCTTGTTCAGGGCAGCTCTATAAGTCACAAAAGAATACTTAGTGCAGAGATATGAACTGTAAATCTCATAGAATGTAAATAGTGGGATGCATCAATTTGCTTTCCTGCTTCCCTGACTGATGATTAGCAAGAAAAGTGCAGCGACAAATTTCCTTTATGTGTTTTAGAGAAGAAATGTTGGTTACTAAAAAAAGAACCCCCACAAAACCTTATTCTTCAAAATATGACGGGATGGGACGCAGCAGCAAACCTAAATGATGCAAGATCTATCACGTATGCAAAGCTATAACGTGTTCAGAAAATCCTCTGCATTTCTCAGGTTCTTTGACCGTTGTCCATGTCTTTATCGTCTTATTGAAGTACAATTTTGCAGATCCAAAAACAGGATAATAGTGGCCAATCTCGGGTGCTTGGGGATCCAATTATCATCCATTTGGTTATTCATCAATAACAATATCATGTCTTCGACAATAGCGTATAATGCTGCTATGTAATCCCCAGAAAGAAGGATGGATACATTTTGGGACATGAAATGGAAATCTAATGTCTCCTACAGCTATTGTGCTGAGAATTTACAGAACATGATTTATTTAGCTGCGAGTTATATGGACACTGGATACCTAACTTGTGCGATAGGCTTGCTCTCGGGCAACAGTCTGCACCTGTTTTCACTCCTATTCCTCTGCTAATGTCTCTGATACCTGAATCCAGAGAGCTTTTAAACCCGTCACACCTCACAGGAGAGCCAATTATGTAGAGGTGAAGATTTACTGGCAATCGTGTTTTAAGTGCCACACTCAAGGCTATGATAGCACACTATACAAGATGTTAACTCTCGGGTTACCTGTCTATTTCCATGGGCCGAATGTCAAACTGGCCCACTTGGTGAATTTGTTGATAAGGACAATGGCTGACAGTCCTAGATGCACAGACACACACACACACACACTAATTGGTCTGGCTGTCTTTTGACTTTACAAACAGGAGTGTTTTATGTCTTGATGAAGGTGAAGATGAATTCCGAATGAGATGTGTGCTATCTGACTGTGGCAGTAAAAGACAGGACGTTTGATTGGTTACCTCATAAAAAGCTCATTTGAAATATGTGCCCATTATTACTGTCAATGTGAGTTTGTTGGAGCCACCGGCAATTCGAAAAAAGAAATCAATGTCACCGACGTTCTCAGGTTAGCTCTGATAACCTGAAAATGTAAGCTTGTTTGTCATAAGCTTACAGAAATACAGATAAGTACCGCACACGTCCTCAGCGAGAGTTTACATCTGTGTGAAATTCTGCCATTACTGTGCTCTCATCTAGTCTTAAAGAAAATAAATTAATCAATTTTATTTAACCTACAGTGGATAAAGTTTGAATCCATTGCTTCTTTAGTAAATCTCTGTTTTGTGGGCACCTCAGTTATGTTTTACCTCCATGTCACAAAGTTTATTAATCACAAATCTGTTCATTTTGTTCAGACACACTCTTCCTGATCTTCAAACCACTACACTGACAGTAAGCGTTACATTGATGTTCTATATGTACTGAGTAAAATGCAGTTTGCAAACTAATCTACTAATGTAAATGGGAAGCTCACTGCGCACATGTCCACACCAGTGGTGCCTAATCTCCAGGCACGAAAAGAAACAGCAACCTCGTGCACTGAGCTGGTCAACTTAACCAAAAAGAAACAATAATTGGCGTCAGAGAGTAATGCTTTTGAAACAAATGTCATTCCACAGCTCTGTTTCCTCATCCAGCAATTTCTGTTTCTTACATTGTAGAACGTGAATAGAACAAAACAGAATTTAGCCCGTTCTCCTTGCGTCTGCATCTGTAACTGACTGCACTACTGGAGTGTAGTGCAGTGAGATTATTGTCACTGTTTAAGTTCTGAAAAGTCTTTATTCCAGTCATGCACGGAGCAGCCTTTCTTGAAATATTCAGAGGAAGGGAGGAGTTGTAAAAGCCTTACTCCCCAACCGGCTCTGCACTTCACACTTGGATAGAGAGAATATAGCACACGTGTGCAAACCTGAAAAGGTCCTTGTAAAGTGAACCTGTGAGTCATTCATTATTCAGCGTGATCAAGCATTGCCTGACTCTCCATCTACTTGGGAGGACCTCACAAATTTGGCACGACTCCTTCAGTCCCTCTGTGTGTTGCCACTTTAGTAAATGTTTGTTGATAGAGACACGTGCTGAAAAAACAACTATGAAGCCGCTTCTTCATATTAAATGCACAATCAAAGCAAGGGATGGATGAAATATAACAGCAGTTTTGTTTTTTAATGATATGATTTATTGAGTAGCCAAAGAAAAAGTGTTAGTGGTTGCAACTGAAGAACTTTCCAGACTAACATAAACTGGCCTGACTAATGTATAAAAAAAAAAAAACTGCATAATTCACATGGTCATTTAATCAGCTTCTGACATTGAAATTACGGCTAAGGCTTTGAGAATCAGTCAGTCGGTCAGAACAATAAATATAAATTTTCTTTTCAATGTCATCAGAATCTGCCAAAGACAAAAGCTCTCCCAGTGCTGCATAAATGTCTATGAATGTTTGGATGGCACTTAATGTCATTTTGCTATCT